ATACCATCGGTCTGGCTGCAAATTTGTACCCTGCCTCCACTCTGTTCTGCAACTCTTTTTCTTACATTTGGTGCCCCGTGTGAGGAGGCACCAAGCTGCGCCTCTTTTTCTTACAATCATAAGGACTCTGAGGCTAGGAGGTCAGGAGTTATGCTTGTTAAGTCAGAAACTGAATCAAAGAGCTGTGTAAATCCATTAATTTGCTTGCTCCCATGACAGATACTTTGCATCAGAAAGCCACTAAATACATGCCATTCATTCCAACTGGTTAATAAATCTGAATTAATCTGCAAGATCGATATCAGATGGCAAAGAATCAAAGTTCTGCACTAACAGATAGGTGATAATACACTAAGGAGCATGCTCAAATTGGCCTTCACAACAAGTTTAGTGAATTTTTTCACATGCTAGTATCTAATAAAGACAGAGTCAGAAACTAACACATGGTCATTAATCTCTCTGCAAACATTCCCAACCTATCAAATGCAGAGAATTAAAAATCAATGCTAACCATTTACTAATTATTCTTTCCAGACACCAACATCAGATTTACAGAATCATAATGCTTTCTCGTGCTTACAGTTTATAAGACACCATGGCAGAGTACAGATTTACAACAATGGAACAGTCCTGATAGTTTGGAAATGTGCTTTCCTATTTATTTTATGATTTTACTATAAAGCACATAGTCAGCTCTTTACTACAGCTGTGTCTAATGTGTCTCTACACTCTCAGCACTAAGCATAATGATTGGCACACACATTTATACATGTCAACAAATGAATCCTGAATAAATAAAGGAAAAGATTTTGCTGGATTTTCTTTTTGTGGACTTACGGGCATTTGACTTGAAACATTACTAAACAATATGGAGACAACGAAAACCTTGTAGATAATTCCTATGCAAATTGATTAATAACTAAATAAAAAGCCAGAGTTTCTTCTAGTCTAAGAACAGGCTCTATCTTTATCATTTCTTTTTCTTAAAGGGAAAAGGTAAATAGACAAAGGAGTTTTTTGCTTATTTTGGTTGTGATTTTTACTGTGAGTAAAATGATGAGTAACATCATTACTGGGTGAAAATTCATTTCTGAGCCATTAAACATTTGAAAATGTTTGCTTAATGAAATGTGAAGTGTCCTGTAAAATTTCATGATTCCCTTACCATGAATTCTTGCATGTATGTGTGTATTTTCCTAGGGCTTCTCATTGGGCATTTATCTTTTTTTAAGTTTATTGCTCAATATCCATTTGTAACTTTTGAATGCTTCTAAGATTCACTGATTGGCAATGTCTAATCACCATTGACATGTGCTCAGTACTAACCCCAAGACAGATGAGATTTTCAGGAGTGTTAGCTACAGCTAAAAATCAATCAGCAAATGCTCTTTAAAACAAGTTTTACTGAGGGGCCGGTGCTGTGGTGCAGTGGGTTAAAGCCCTGGCCTGAAGCACCAGAATCCCATATGGGCACCGGTTCTAGTCCTGGCTGCTCTTCTTCTGATCCAGTTCTCTGCTATGGCCTGGGAAAGCAGTGGAAGATGACCCAAGTGCTTGGGCCCCTTCATTCATCTGGGAGACCTGGAAGAAGATCCTGGCTCCTGGCTTCGGATCGGCTCAGCTCCGGCCGTTGCAGCCATCTGGGGAGTGAACCAGCAGATAGAAGACCTCTGTCTCTGTCTCCACCTCTCTCTGTAACTCTGTCTTTCAAATAAATGAAATAAATCTTTAAAAAATGAATCGTAGACAATAAGAGCCCTGAACTCTCAGTAATAGATGGCTTAAAAAAACAAGTTTTACTGATCCCATAATTGGAATCTTGACCATTCTTTAACATCTTTACACCAATGTCTGAACTAGGATTAAGAAAAAAAAGCAGGGGCCAGCTCTGTGGTATAGAAGGTTAAGCCTCCATCTGCACCAGCATCCCATATGGGCACTGGTTGGAGTTCCGGCTGTTCCACTTCCGATTCAGTTCCCTGCTAATGTGCCTGGGAAAAACAGCTGAAGATGGCCCAAGTACCTGAGCCCCTACATCCACGTGGGAGACCCAGAGGAATCTCCTGACTCCTGGCTTCGGCCTGGTCCAGCCCTAGCCTTTGTGGCCACTTGGGGAGTGAACCAGCAGATAGAAGATCTATCTCTCCTCTCTCTCTCTTTCTTTCTCTGTATCTCTGCCTTTCAAACAAATAAATAAATCTTCAAAATGAAAAAAAGAAAAATAAGCAAGACACTGGCACACCACCAGACAACATTTTTCTCTTTTCTGCATTATCCATTATTATATCTGACAACCATTTATGGCCTTTATAAAAATCTAAACAAAAACATTTTAAGGCCAATAGTGTTTTAGACAGTGCAATATATCAAATATTTACCACTCGTTAAGTAAAAAGCTAGAAGAGTTTTAGATTGGAGGGAAGACTGATTAACTACAATGAAAAACTATTAACCATTATATTTGTTTTTTCATATCCTAATAAACAGTCTTAACACAACTCAATACAGATTTCATTACTCACTGAATGTTAGAGGCTATCTATCTATTAAGATTTATTATGATTTATGAACTACTATTCTAATGCACAGCCCTAGAAATGCCATCAAAAGAATATCAATGCAGAACTTCAACATTCTGGTTAATACTTTCAGATCTGAAATCAACCTCAAAGTTCAATTTGTTCAATTCCCCTATTTCAGAGATCAAACCCAGGAAGATTCAGAGAAACCTAAATCCCAAATCCAAGAAGTCTGGGACCTATTCAGGGTCAGCAAGTCTATTGAATTAGTTGTCAACAGAATCTGTGTTCATTCAACCAGACTCCTATGTCAGGGCTCTCATTTTATCACCTAGTAAAAGCATAGAAAAGGTATTGCTGCTACTTTATAAGCATATATCTTAAAGTTCTAAATATTCGCATATGAGGGTACTTTAAAGCAATCATGAATCACATTTCCCATGAACTATTTAAGTTTGTTTGTTTAATTCTAGAGGCAAAAAGGCACAGAAGTAGACAGAGAAACAGAGATAGACAGTATCTCTTGGTTTGCTCTGCAAATGCCGGCAACAGCTGAGACCGGGTCAGGCCGAAGCTGGGAGCCCAGAGCGCAATCCAAGTCTCCCAGGTGGGTAGAGACCCAGGTAGTTGAGCCAACACCTGCTGCCTCCTAGTGTGTCATTAGCAGGAAGCTGGGACTGGGAATAGAGCCAGGACTAGAAACCAGGCATTTCCGACACCAGATGCAGCATCCAAATCTGTTCTTAACCACTACTCCAAATGCCCATCTCTCTGTGAACTTTTTAAAGACTTCTTGTATGCACAGATTTCAATTTTTTTACAGAAACAAGCATCTTTTAATTCAATTTTCCACAAACATTTTTGAAGTACCCTTGTACATTATTAGAAAATACTGCAAACAATTCAGTTTACAGAGGCAGGCACAATAGCATTTTTACACGAGATTTGGACCCTAAACTTTATTGTGAACATGCCATGGTGAGGTTTCTTGCTGGTTATGGACAGAAAGTTTGACACAAAATTTCTATACTCAGGAGATTTCATGTTTCATTCCACAACAATGGTACAAATTCAGGCTGACTGAAGACACTAAATGAAGTGTTTCTTGTGAAGATTGCCTTTGGTAATAGCTGATAAATAAAATGCCATTATGTTTCAGTGTATTTCCAACTTGCTTATTTAGTGACTAGCAATGGTACAAGGTGTCTGCTACAAATATGTTAAGGGTTTTTTTGTTTGTTTGTTTGTTTTACTGCTTTACCATTTTTCCAAAGTGAAAAGTGTGAATGGTTATGAAATAGCATAGAGGAATATATCATTAGGCAGAAGAAATTATTTTTATGAGATAATTTTAACGGAATGTTCTGTTCCTACAAAAATCAAGTTAAATCATTTTGCTGTACGTTGGCATCTACAGTGTTTCGTTTTTGTAGGCAAGTTAGAAGGAAAAGGTAACATACAAAGACGGACATTATTGAACTTAGATGACAAAATGCTCGATTGCGATCTTCTGCCATGGAATCGGCCTAAGAGCATTTACAAAACTGCTTTACAATACATTTCAATGGTAAATTTTACAGTTTGCTATTGCTAGGCTGCTTACAAATATATTGCACTTTATGTGAACTAAAGACCACTTATACTGGGATAGTCCAGAAATATCTTTTTGTTAGGAGTAATATGTGTTTGTAGGTACAACAGCACCTCTTAAAGCCGAAACAACCTTAAAGATGGGCCCATAAGCTTTGCTTTACTAGGTCATAACCTTAAAAAGCCAAAGAAACCTCTCCAAAGTGATGCGTGAAATTTGTGCTTCTGCCACATTCTTCCAATGTTTTTTCCCCAGCAGAGCACCCTCCACCAGACCCTACAATCCTAAAATCCAACCGATCCTACTTTAAAGCTCAAGTATACACGCTAACCTTCCCAAATGCCTAACCCCATCTCTCCATAAATGTACTACTCCGAGTTTCCACACCACAGGACCTCGGATTTTACCAGAGGGTTTTTTCTCTGTCTGATTTCTGATTTCCTTAGCTTTTCTTCTTTTTCTCTGTCGCCTCTCTCCATCACTCGCCCTTCTCTTTTCCTGCTTGCCCCTCTAGGGCCACAGCACTCAGAACCTCGCCTCTTTCCCAAATCACATCTCCTAGTGCACACGAAGGCGTCTTGCTGAGCGAGAAATGATGTGTGTGTGTGTGTGTTTCTCCCTTCAAACTCCTGCCTGGTGAGTACCTTCAGTTTCTTTGCCTGGGGGCCTGCATCCTTTTCTGGGGCCAGGGAAACCCCTCACTGCTTCAAGGAGACCTGGCACACTGGGGGCTAATACCACGGGGCGGGACGAGGCACCTTGGCCTCTACTGCGCCACAGCAGTTGGGGGTTGGGGAAGGGGCGAATCTCGCCCAGCCAGATTTCCGACGGGCTGATAATAGGCAGCGAAGGAGATGGGGCCGTGCCCGCACCCCAGGACGGGAACTCACCTTCTCTGAGGCAAGGGCGGGTGTCTACTTTAAAACTACTGCCCCCCCTCCCCGCCGCCGCCATAGTGGAGCCGCCAAAGCCGCTGCCGCCGTCGCCACAGCCACCGGCAGGCAGGCGGGCAGAGGTGGACGTGGCGGAGGAGGTAGGCACAATCACTGCCGGGGCCGTGGCCGTGGCTGTGGCCGCGGCCGCCGCCGCCGCCGCGAAGGCGGTATAGGAGGCATCAGAGACTGTAGCTTCCTGAGGGGAAGACTCCGTGGCCAGCGGCGTGACTGTGTTCAACGCCGCGGCCATCGCAGCGAGGCGCGGACAGTCGCACTTGCGCCTCGCTCTGGTTTTGCTCCTTTAGCCCCGCCCCTCTTGGCCCCGCCCCCTCGCCCCTCTTTCCTTCGCCCCGGCTGGAGCTTGGATCTCGCTCCTTGCTTCTTCTGCCCAATCGTAAAGGTTAAGATCCACAGGCTGCTCTCCACCCCTACCCCCGTCCCCAGTCCCCACCCCACCCCACCCCACCCCGCCACGCACTGCTTGGCGTTGACGCATTGTCTTTGCCCAGGAGGCAATGCCCAAGAGAAAAGGGGAAAAAGCGCGGGATGTAAAGGCATGTGGGGATCACACAATGAAGACGCTTCCTTTGGAGGAGTTAATCTAAAACCAATAAAAAAAAAAAGGGGGGGAAGTTACTGATTCCTCTCCTAAGGGATCCTAAAATATTCGTACATCTCTTTTCTTGGAGCTGTTATTACAGAAAATAGAAATAAACAGAATCTTTGGTTATGACACATTGTCTTTATGGCCCCTTAAAGGGCTGTATCTATTGATCTACCCATCTACATTTTGAAAATCTGCCGTAAATCTGGTACCCAACAGAAGTAGAATATTACTAATAATTTAATTCCCCTTAGCATTTTCCCCCTGACCTCCCTTCCTAAAAAACCAATTTGCTTTTTGATTTATGTTTATTATTTCTTTTATCTTTTTTTTAACTTTTATTTAATGAATATAAATTTCCAAAGTACAGCTTATGGATTACAGTGGCTTCCCCCCCACAACTTCCCTCCCACACGCAACCCTCCCCTTTCCCTCTCCCTCCCCCCTTCCATTCACATCAAGATTAATTTTCAATTCTCTTTATATACAGAAGATCAGTTTAGCATATATTAAGTAAAGATTTCAACAGTTTGCACCCACATAGAAACACAAAGTGAAAAATACTGTTTCAGTACTAGTTATAGCATTAAATCACAATGTACAGCACATTAAGTACTTCTTTTCTCTTTTAACGTATTTTCTTGTGACATAGATACATACCTAACTAGGTTTATTTCGTTTTGATTGTCTTCAAATTTAACAATGAAAAATTTGTATCTTTTACTAGGTAGCATTCTGAGACTTGTTTCTTTCATTCAACATTCAGTTTCGAATTTTCATCCATGTTGTTGTTTGTAGCTGTCAGGGTTGTACAATATCCCATTCATTTCCTTGCTGATGAGATGCCCAAGGGAAACATTTGTGTGAGTTTCTTTTCTGTGTGCCCTCCTTTCTGCTCTCAGTTCCCTGGCTGTATTTCCAGTCCTCGTTATGTCTTGTCAGCTATGGCTTCTATCCCACAAGTCATCTTTCCTCTGGTCCCAGTTCCTCCAATGTATTTCCATAATGTTGTCATTCATCACTGGCGCTCTCATTGCTTATTTAGATAAAGTCAAAGTGCACAGTTTGGCACTAATAGTCTCTTCTCTCACCTCCTTGATCTCATTCCTTCCCACTGTTCCCACCACTCCCCTACTTTACTTTGTGATTCAGTAATAATGAATCTTAAAGACTCCTTGTAATTTTATGATGCAGTGTTATTATATGAGGGTAGTTGAAAAAGTTCATGGAAATGGAATTAAAAATATGAGTTTGGTGTAAAATTTTGGGGGGGGGCACCAAAATTTTTTTCATAATACTTGGAAAGTGTGTGTGTGTGTGTGTGTTTAAAGAAGGATCTAGGAGTTATTTTTTTTTAATTTAAAAGTCAGAATTAGGGAGAGAAAGAGAGAGAGAGGAAGAGAGAAAGGTTCATCTTCCATCCACTGGTTCACTCCCCAAATGGCCACAATGGTCAGGGCTAGGCCAGGCCAAAGCCAGGAGCCAGGAGCTTTATCCAGGTCTCCCACATGGGTGCAGGGGCCAAAGGATTTAGGCCATCTTTTATTACTTTCCCAAGAGCATTATCAAGGAGCTGGATCGGAAGTGGAGCAGCTGGGAGAGGAACCAGCACCCATATGGGATGCTGGCACTGTAGGTGACAGCTTAAACCACTGCAACACATCACTGGCTCTGGAAAGTATATATTATGAAAAAATTATACATGGATTTCAAAATTATTTTGTACCAAAATAAACACATACTTTTCATTTTATTTCCCATGGAGTTTTAAAAGTCACCTTTGATAATGTTCTTCTCTGTTCTTGAAATGCTCTGTTCTCCATGTTGGGCATCAGCCTAAAGAACCCTTGAACCCCCTGGAAACCCAGATACTACTCACAACACTTTTTCATGTAACCTATTCTGTTCCTGCTTAGAGTTAATTTGACCCTCTACTGTTCTACACTTACAGCTGGCGCATATTTTTATTGTAACAGACTGTACTCCATGCCTCTCTTCTTAAAAGCCTGGGGCTATTTTAAGACAGAAGATTTTTATTTTTGACTCCTCATTCTCAAGCCCAATAAAGTCTTAGGACAGAGGTCCAAAAGCAGTGGCTCTGAGGCCCAGGTCCCTTTAGTTCCTAGTTTGGCCCACAAATACCTTTTCTTTTACTCACAGAATTGTTTATTTATATCCTCTTTAACATTTGAAAAGGGCATTACACACACACACAAAAAAGTCTCTTAAAAACATTTGAAGATTTGGCAGTATTGGCGGTACATTCCTCACTGGCAATAATTGGCTAGAACTGAATAACAAAGTCAGAGACTTAGAGTGCTAGTATCTTTTTAAAAAATATTTATTTGTTTATTTTTTAAAGATTTATTTATTTACTTGAAAGTCAAAGTTACACAGAGAGAAAAGGAGAGGCAGAGAGAGAGAGAGGTCTTCCATCCACTGGTTTACTTCCCAATTGGCCGCAACTGCCGGAGCTGCACCGATCTGAAGCCAGGAGCCAGGAGCTTCTTCCAGGTCTCCCATGGGGGTGCAGGGGCCCAAGGACTTGGGCCATCTTCTACTGCTTTCCCAGGCCACAGCAGAGAGCTGGATGGGAAATGCAGCAGCCAGGATTCAAACCAGCACCCCTATGGGGTACCTGCACTACAGGTGGCAGCTTTACCTGCTATGCCACAGTGCTGGCCCGAGTGCTAGGATCTTAAAAACGTGTCTTTATGTTGTTTTTGTGACAAAGTAATTTCTGGAAGACTGAGTCAGTGCTTTGTTTCTCTACTCTTCTATCTTGTCCTTTTATAAGTTAATATAGCTTTTATTTATCAGAGAGATTACTGAATAGGCCAGGAACAAGAAATATTTTGCTGAAAACCATTATGCCAGGGTAAACATAAAAATGAGATGTAATTTTATTCCTTCTGATACGAAGGAAGAAATCCCTTGAATGCACTGATTCTCAAAATATGATTCACAGTCCATTTTATAGGAAATATTCAATTAAAATCTCTGGAGAATGGGGCCGGCACCGTGGCTCACTTGGGTAATCCTCCGCCTTGCGGCGCCGGCATCCCATATGGGTGCTGGGTTCTAGTCCCGGTTGCTCTTCTTCCAGTCCAGCTCTCTGCTGTGGCCAGGGAGTGCAGTGGAGGATGGCCCAAATGCTTGGGCCCTGCACCCCATGGGAGACCAGAAGAAGCACCTGGTTCCTGGCTTCGGATCGGCGCAGCGCCGGCCGTAGCGGCCATTTGGGAAGTGAACCAACGGAAGGAAGACCTTTCTCTCTGTCTCTCTCTCTCACTGTCTATAACTCTACCTGTCAAATAAAAAAAAATCTCAGGAGGAGTGTGCATTACTCACCATTCAGTCAGCAAAAGAGAAACTACACTAATTATTTTGAACAGAAAATTTTAAGGTATGGACTCAGGTAGTTAAAAAGTCAGAGGGCCGGCACTGTGGTGTAGCAGGTAAAGCTACCATCTGTGGTGCCAGCATCCCATATAATAGGCTCCGGTTAGAGTCCTGGCTGTTCCACTTCTGATCCAGCTCTCTGCTATGGCCTGGGAAAGCAGTAGAGGATGGCCTAAATCCTTAGGTCCCTGCACCCACGTGGGAGACCTGGAAGAATCTCCTGGCCCCTGGCTTCAGATCAGCCCAGCTCCAGCTGTTGCGTTCATTTGCGGAATAAACCAGCGGGTGGAAGACCTCTCTCTCTCTCTTTCTCTCTCTCTGCCTATCTGTAACTCTGCCTTTCAAATAAATAAATATTTTTTTAAAAAGTGTGAAACCTTAGAAAAATAAAATTCAGGAGACTTTTCCAGATATTGTCAGCTGTCACTTGGAAGGCATCTCATCCCCTTCTGTAATCTCTCCTCTACTGCAGAAGCTGGAATCTTGTGAATTTCCCTGTCCAGACTTGTGGCCAGCAGAATCCTGAATATGGTCTAGGTCCCACCAGCTATATGCATTTGCATAATACTTTATTACCAGAATGAAGATTAAAGCCGTTCTTTATCTGGAATCCAGTAGATATAAAACATGGACTTTTGAGCTTGATTTTAGGGTTCTTCTGCAAATCTTGTTACCAAAGACTTTGGCTGATCTGCGAGAGTGGCAGTAATATTTACTGAATTATGGTATTTGACTTCTCCCTTCTTAATCTCTGTGAAAAATTATGTTTCTACTGTCCAAACAGTAAGAAGAAGGGAGAACATAAGGGCATGAATTTTAATAGGGAGTAGGCATTTGTCCTAGTAGTTAAGGTGCCAACATCCCATATCAAAAGGCCTGTGTTCAATGCATGTCTCCATCTCCTGAGTCCAACTTCCTGCTAAGGCAGATCCTGGGAGGCAGAAGGTGATTTCTCAAGTAATTGGGTTCCTGTCACCACATGGGACATTTGAATTGTGTTCCTGGCCTCTGCCTTCCGGTGAGTCAACGCTGGCCATTACAGACACTGGGGAAGTGAACCAACAAATAGCAGCTTTATCTCTATGTCTGTCCCTTTCTATGCCTCTCTCTCTCTAAAATAAAAAAAAGGACTTAGTTAATTTTCTCCCTATTCCTTAGCTGCATTTGGTGACTGCCATAGTATGAAAATGCCACTAAATCTGAGTCATACACTACAATAATAAACACACCATTTGTTTCTTCCTCTTACACGTATTTTTGGTC